GTAGGAATAAAGAAACGAATAACGGAATAAGGAACTCCCTGAAGAAATAGTAAGTCATGAGCACTATTAGGGAGCGGGAACTAATGCATCAAAACGTCTTGGACGAGCTATCTAGGATTGAAATCATTGGTAAAAGAGGCTAAGATTGTTGAGAGCGGAGCACACACGAGCCACGTTGTGTGACGTTACCTAACACTGAGCTGAGCCGGGAAGGTGTCACTATGTCGGCGAGAGGACGCAGACGACCAGGTTCAGTTGCCAGGTGTGGCGCTCCACACCCAAAATAAAAAGGAAGTGGTCACGTTGGACATTGAAACCAACCTTGAAAGTCGTGTCTAAAAAGAAAACGACATATATAAAATTGTATTGAATTAAAAATCTGTGAAATTAAATTTTTATTAGTGACTCCATTAATAGCCATAGAAGCATAGAAATCAATGATATCACAAGTGATCACTTAAATGAGATCGCTACTTTGTTGTATATCACACTGCGAGAGCAAAAGGTCCCATTCCTGAAAATATAGGGAATATGCATGAGAAATAGGACTGGTCAATAAACTGATGAATTCTAACGCAGCACAAGTCACAAAACCTTACATAACATTGAACAAAATCAGATTTTGGAAGAGGAAAGAAAGATATGTTTATATTTATATTTCCAATATGAGTCAGCCATAAGAAAACAGGAAGGAATTTCGGTATGGAACAAACCATCTACTGCCTAAGAGGAAGATGGTTCAGCGACAAACAGGTCGAAACCATGGGTCACATGGATGGATTCCCTCTTAAGTCGAAGAAACCTTTCATCCCTGCTAGGTGAGCGGAATGGTATTGGTGACGCGCACGCTGGCTGAGCCCGAGTAAGGCAAGGACGCATCCAGAAATTTTGCCTATCCAGATGAAGGTCGAATACGTGGCGCATCAGGGTACAGCATAGGGATAGGCGAAATGTCGGTGTGAGTACGACCCCCCCCCCTCCGAATGGGGTCCACGCCACGACCCCCCCCCTTTTTCCGTT